AGTTATTTTCCCCTAAATTGTACAGGATAACAGCTGTTTACATTTACATCCTATTAGGTATTGTAACTAATCCAATGATGCAATGTATCCAGCCTCCTGAATAAGTTCATTATATGTAAATAACTAATACCATGTCATTTTATATAAGGGATTTGAGCATTCAGGGACTTTAGTATCTACGTGGGGTCCTGAAAGTAATCCCAGAGTGCTGAGAGGGGTACCTGGGTATAATATTATAGTAATGATAAGCATATGTTACTTACTTACTGTACATTGGTTTCTAGTCCATAATCAGTACAGAAATGGACAGCAAGTCTTGAGAAAGCATTCATAGGAATGTTACAGAGTGATTTTTTGGTCTTTTTATTGACTATAAACCAATTTGAAGCCTGTGTATTAGTCTTTATCATTTTTCTAGCAATTCATGTTTGTGATATTCCATATAAATTTGGTCAGGGACATAATTAGCTTTTTATTTGGTGGTCGTGGGGCCTGAACTCTGGGCCTGGGCACTGTCCCTCAGCTCCTCAGCTCAAGGCTAGCAGTCTACCACTTGAGCCACAGCGCCACTTCTGGCTTTTTCTGCTTATGTGGTGCTGACGAATCCAACCCAGGGCCTCATGCATGTGAGGCAAGCACTCTACCCCTGAGCCACCTTCCCAGCCCCCATATTAGGTTTTTTTTTTTTTTTTTTGGTCATGAGGCTTGAACTGTGGCCTGGGCGCTGTCCCTGTGCTCTTCAGCTCAAGGCCAGTGCTCTACTGCTTGAGCCATCACGTCACTTAAGGTTTTCTAGTGGTTTATTGGAGATAAGAGTCTCACAGACTTTCCTGCCCAGGCTGGCTTTGAACCACAATCCTCAGATCTCAGCCTCCTGAGTAGTTAGGATTACACCACTGCCAGGCAACAGTGATTTTCTTAATGGCTTTAAAGTTCACAAAATAGTGCTTCTCTGTCAGCCTAAGGATTGTATAAGATTCACTGGAAAATGTTTCCTATTTTGTTGTTTTCATGGTTTCTCAAATGTAGGATGAGAATTCATAGTGTGCTTGGTCTTTTTGTTTTTTGGGTTTTTTTTTCCTCTAATCTCCAGCTTCTATCACATCAATACACATTTTAATGATGGGGTAGAAAGGAATAATGAATCTTATGAAGCTATTACTGCTGCCACAAACAATGATAGGAGATAGGCTAATCAAATGTATTTGTCAATGGATATGATTAAGCTAAATTTAATTCACCCTAAAATATGAGATTGTGAACATTGCATGTTCTCCAAAGAGAGTTTTTCTCTTCAGGGAAACCAAAATAATCATTCTTAAAACTTCAAAGTCTGCATAGAGAGATTGTCCCTTTTGAAACCAACTTCCTCAAGGGTAGCTCTCATTTAATTTGCCTGTAATGTTATATACTTTGCCTATCGTCTAGTCACTTACAGTTTTTTTATCTGAACACAAACAGAATGTCCATATAATTTGAATTATGAGTGCTTTTACTTATTTGCCCAGGTGGATATATCTATGTATATGTATATATGTATGTATATGTATGTATATCCATAGGCACAAATTTAGGTAAGGAAGTAACTAAAGAGGGAGGCCCAATTACTCATTGAAAATATATCTCCTTGTAGTCAAAACAATGATGTTGAAGCGAAATTTAAACATTCAACTGTAAAGGTACGTTTTTAAAAATACAGACATAATGAACTATATTTCAATACTAGTGCTTTGAATTTTTTAGGTCTTTAAACATTGGTTAGTGAGTTGACTTTCATTAGAGATAAGTGATAAATTCATTTTCAGTAGTTTCTTTATGCACAACTGTGCTTTTCCTGAGGCTGGACTGCTAGACTTCACTAAACATAAAGGTTCACACTTAATTCTGAAAACTCCGTACATTAATATTAGGAAAGTTTTGTGGGTGTACAAATGTCCTCTTATGTGCTTTAAAGTTATGTATAAATCCTAATGGCCATACACTGAAGAAACTTCCCCAAAAATTTAAGGGTAAGATTAAATGACTTGTACTATCTCAATATCAGTATTTTTATATATATATAGACAGTAAAGAAAAAAATATCACCATCTAGATGAATTAGGTTAGGACCCGGAGGGAGAACTAGATGAAGGTAAAGGACTGCTGATAAGACAGAGAAGCCATGTGTTTAGGGAGATAGAGGAGCCAAAGGTTTCTCAGTCTCTATGACCAGGGTTTGCAAGCTTATGCTATGGGACAAGCTTTGAGTCCCTTCAAATGTATTCATCAGACTCAGAGATGAAAAGCATAGAATACAGTATTTATCTCCTTACATCAAGAATGTTCCAAGACACACAGGATAGCTGAAATCTTGGATTGCACCAAATCCTATTTAGAAGTGCTGAGAATTAGATGATTGAATGGATATGTAAGACAAGGGGATGATCCAAAAGTTCTATCATATTGCACAGAAAGAGGTGCAGGTTAAAACTTCTGAATTGTTTGTTTCTGGAATGTTCCATTTAATTATTTTATACTACTAGGAATTGGAACTGTGAAGAACAAAACTGGATAAGGAAGGACTACTGTATTTGTAACTTAGATTACACTTAACCTTTACTTTGATCTTTTAAAAAAATTGTTTGTAGACAATTCATAAAACTGTCTAGAAGAGCATTTTGTTCTGGAGTAGAGACAGGTGGCTTAAGCACCAGAGGGTGACTGTGTAGCTAGGAAAACTGTTCTCAGAAACCCTGTTGACTTGGACACAGTGATGGCAGAAAGTTAAGCCTCTCGTGGCAGCATGTGAAGAGCAGCTTGCTTCATGGGATACGGGCAACAACTTGTACATGATTATATATAAGATTATGTACATAATATTCATGATTATGTACATGATTATCTCCTATGGTTTGTCTTTAGTTTTCTTGATGGAATCAACATGAAGGATAATTTTTCAGACCATATTTTAGGTTTTGATGATGCAGAAGTGGTCCTGTCATGCTTCAGCCTCACATGGAGGAATCACATGACAACTATGCGACAGAACACAGAGGCCTCAGTAATAGAATTAGCAGCAAAACAGCTTATCCTTGTTTCCCTGAGGGCAGAAAACACCTTTCCTTTTCCTTTTTTTTTTTTAAAAAAAAATATATGGTCTTGCTATGTTGCCTAGACTTATTTCAAAATCCTGGCCTCAAGTAATGGTCCCATCTTAGTCTCCCAGGAAGCTGGGAGTGTAAGTATATGTCATCGAACCAGCTCCCAACTCTGGCTTAAATCACAGAGTTCTACCTTATTATTGAACTATATGTTCCATAGGTAACCCTTTCTCTTGTCTGTTAGCTTTTATATTTCCAGGTGTATAGCATTCATCTCTTGAAAAATTGCTCTATTTTAAAACAGCTACTACAATTTTCCGGCACTGTTGTCAAGGAGTTTGTTGGGGTTTTTTTTTTCATGTATGTTCCAATCACACATGAGGTTATTGGAGTGTGGCAAGATGAATAATGGGCTGGAAACTCAGAGGCTCAGAGATCTGATTTTGCCAGTCATTCATCTTATAACTTAAATGAGCTGCCTCCCAATCTCTAAGAGTTTCTAGTCCTATTTATTTAAATAACATTAAAACTAGCTCATTCCACAGCAACACATTGTAATGGTATTAACCATAAGCAAACATACATTAAACATTCATTCCTTAATAATGTAAAGGATAACTGCATTCATAGTTTTATTTGGTCCTTTATAACCTTTTTTTTCTGGAAAGGCAGTCTCCTTATTGGCTCTTGGGGAATCTTAGCAGCTAGGACAAGATAAAAATTACACACACTTCATCTCATATTGTGTTTGTTTGTAAATGTATGTACGGTTTTCACTACAACACATATACAACACACACTTCATCTCATACTGTGTTTGTTTGTAAATGTATGTACGGTTTTCACTACAACACATATACACATACCACCTTGACCATTGAGGTTTATAGTCGGGTTTACAATGAGGTGAGTTTTACAAAGGATATTTAATTAGGTGCAGCTGCCTGTTTGCTTTGGAGTCCTGCCTCACCTGGACAACACTTCCTACTTAGACTGTCAATACAATTTTATTCTCCACCAAGGGGATAACTTATTTTACCTTTTTTCTCAGAATATTTAAAATAGTTTATGAACTCAGATGTGTAGTTGTAATTGCTGTTTCTGTTCATCCTATCCATGAGGGGCACTAAAATGCCAGGTTATCTGGCAAATATGAAATTATCTGGCAACTTGTAAATCAGTGGTGGTGTTGTCAAGAGAAACACACCTGGAAACTTCTGAAAATATCCTCCTTCAGAATGGGCAATGGCCACATCAGCGTGCTTGGTCTATACCTGGTTGTAACCTCCCACCTCCACTCATGGAGTCTCTGTTGCAGTGTGCCAGAGAGGTAGTAGTCAGACCTTACCTATGACCCCAAAGAGTATCACTGTGGCTCTAACATAAGATTCTACAAACCAGACTAGTGTGTTGTTTCCTCTGGACATTAAGTCACTAAAGTCATGATTACCAAAATGATGCTCTTCCACTTACAGGGAAGTGCTGACTCATAAAACGTTATAATACAGAACAACTGTTTGTGTCCATGCTGCTCATTGTGTTGTAAGTGGTCACATGTTACCATAGAGTTTTTAAGTACAGTTTGGCTGGTGAAACTGAGGACCTGAATGTTTAGTATGGGATTTTACTTAATTTGAGTTTAAATAACCACATAGGATTAGTAATTACTAGATTGATCTTGGCAGGTCTACAGCTATTGTGTTGCAAAACTGTTACTTAGTAGATGAATGCAGTAACATCCAGGGAACTACATTACTGACCTTGAGAACATATTTGGAGTGGTAGAAGTAGGATGTAATGGATGAAAAAGATTTGAAAGAGGTAGAACTTTTAAGTTTAACTAGGATTCATGAAATATCTTTCCTAAGGTGAGCAGAGGTGGGGTTTGGATCTTGACTCTCCTCTGTTTTGTCTCTGCAGGTTCCTTCATGCTGGTGAACACATCTGGAAGACCGGAGGGGCAGAGAACTCACCTGCTCTTACCTCAGCTCAAAGAAAATGACACCCACTGCATTGATTTTCACTATTTTGTATCCAGCAAGAGTAATGCTGCTCCAGGGTTACTCAATGTCTATGTGAAGGTCAATAATGGGCCCTTAGGGAATCCTATCTGGAATATATCCGGAGACCCTACACGCACATGGAACAGGGCAGAACTGGCCATTAGTACATTCTGGCCTAACTTTTATCAGGTATGTGCTTTCTTTCCATTTTATATTTTAAAGTATCCTTGCATTTCTAAATCTATAAATTGTTCTTATATTAGTATAATCAATGTATAGGAGAAATGGTGTTTTTGAAAATACAATTGAAAACGTGACCTATGCTATTTGATAAGGAGTATCTTGAGGCTTTCTGAAATGAATAAAGACATAACTTATGTCTGTCCCTCATGGTGCACTCTTGTCTGCAAGGATACCTTACTTTGTGTATAAAGTAAGCATGTTGACCCAGAGACAGCACTTGAAAATGCAAACGCCTCTCCTGGTACTGCATAAGCCACAAAGAAGGGAGCTCCAGTGAGGGCAGCTTGGGATGGGCTTCAACCTTAAGTCCTTGTTGTAGAGGACATTCTGTTATTTTGGAGGATCTCTTGAAACCCCCTGTATTTATTTTAACTGAAAACGCCTTTAAATCACGGAGGCAAAAAGCCTAGGACAATTCATACATCATACAAAATTAATTAACACAAGAGCTGAACACATGTGGTTCATGCCTGTAATCCTAGTACCTTAAAAGTCTGAGATGTTAAGATTGTGGTTCAAAGCCAGTCAAGGGAATAATTCTTTGAGAATTAGTTCCAATTAACCAGCAAGAAACTGGAAGTGGAGCTGTGGCTTAAGATTTAGAGGGCTAGCCAAAAGCACAAAGCTCAGGAACAGTCTTGAGTTGAAGCCCCAATATTGGCACAAAAGAAAAATGTAAGTTTTATATATATATATATATATATATATATATATATCACATTTTCTTGAGGGGGCATCTGGGTTGGTTCCATATTTTAGATATGGTAAATAATACTGCAATAAACAGTTGTGCTGGTGGCTTTAGTATGGTCTTATTTGTGATCATTCGAGTAAATGCCCAAAAGTGGGTTTGCTGGGTCATAAGGGAGCTCTATGTGGATTCTTTTGAGGAACTCCCATACTACTTTCCAAAGTGGTAGAAGTTTTTGTTTTTGTTTTTTTTTAATTGTGAAAATACCATACAGAGGGGTTACAATTACATGGGCAAAGTAATGAGTGCATTTCTTTTTTTTCTCTTTTATTTTCTCTCTCTCTCTCTTTTTAATTGTGAGGATACTGTATAGAGGAATTACAGTTACATGGGCAAGAAAACAAGTACATTTCGTATCAAGCATTGTTGTCTCCTCATTGTTTCCCCTTCCCATCCCTTCCCATACTCCTCCCCTCCCCACAATGAGTACATTTCTTATCAAGCATTGTTGCCTCCTCCTTTTTTTTCCCTTCCCATCCCTTCCCATCCTTCCTGCCCTCCAAAGTTGTAAAGTTTGTTTTTTGACATAACATCTTTTGTACAGATCATGGGACTGGTTTTGAGCTATTTGTTTTTGCTCTACTACTTGAGCCATAGCCCCACTTCCTATTTTTTTTGTGGTTAGAAATAAAAGTCTCATGAACTTTCCTGATCCAACTGGCTTCAAACCATGATCCTCCTATCTCAGCCTCCTTAGTAGCTAAGATTGTAGGCATGAGCTCCCACATGCCCAGTTTAGTCTTTCTAACTTAGCTTTTGGTTCATTCAGGAGTCAACCCTTACATGTGTCTACCGTCATTTCTCAGATTTAATTATGTTGTTCAGCTAGACTCAGGCATGGGAGAACCAGATCTTTCCAGGAATGCTTATCTTTGGTGTTTATTAGTTAAGATCATTCCAACCCAAACCCTTTGTCCCTGCATTATAATGGGGATGGGTATAAGTAGGCAGTAAATTTTTTGATTATGTAATGGATGCCTGAGCCCAGCACAATTTCCTTCTTAATGAATGACCAATGTTTACGAGTGGAAATGAAGAGTAAAGAGAGCTCTATTAGAATACAAGCTAATTGTTTATTTTTTTAGAAGATTCTTAGGCAGTAAGCTTTAAGATTGTTAAAAATTTAGATAAATCTAAATTTAGTAGTCTGCTAAAGAAATAATGAACAGTGATTGCAAGTAAACAAGTGCAAAGATATTCATAATAGTTTGTTAAAAAAGCAAAATAAAAATAAAAATTAAAAAACATCAAAAATGCAAAATAAGTAATTTGACAAAACAGAGGATTTTAATTTATGCCATCTCAATACGAAAATTTCCTTTAGGATGTGGCCAAAAGGGAACCCTACTGCATTGTCGTTGGGAGTGTAAACTTGTTCAACTACTTTGGAAAGCAGTATGGAGTTTCTTCAAAAGACTCCACATAGAGCTACCCTAACATTTTTCTAATTTGAGGAGGGGAAGGGGAATTTAAAAAATGCTTAAATAAGGATACAGGTTGACCCATTGTAACAATGAGATGTACTACAAGACACTATGTTGAAAACGAACTTTACAACTTGGGCAGGGGGCAGTTGGGGAGGGATGGTAGGGGAAAAACAAAGGAGGAGATAACAATGCTTTTAAGGAAATGTACTCATTACCTTACTCATGTAACTATAATCCCTTTGTGCAGTATTTTTACACTAAAAAAAAAAAAAAAAAACATGTTAATCTCGGCGCCGGGGCTCATGCCTGTAATCCTAGCTACTCAAGAGGCTGAGATCTGAGGATTTTGCTGTTCAAAGCCAGCCTGGGCAGGAAAGTCCCTGAGACTATCTCCAATAAGCCACCAGAAAACCGGAAGTGGCTCTGTGCTTCAAGTGGTAGAGCCCAGGGACAGCGTCCAAGCCAGAGTTCAAGCCCCATGACCAACAAAAAAAAAAAAGAAAAAGAAAAGCAAAGAAAAAAATTACCTTTGTAACTATTAGTAATATTATGGAAGATTAATTAGTGATATAATTAAGTTTATTTTCATAAATGGATATGAAAGGTATAAAGCATTATCTTAAATTCCATTCTTAAATATGTGTATATATAATTTAAGAATATATGTTAATACATATTAAAATATGTAATACATACAGTAATGTATCTATTAATATTTAATATATCTAAAAGACCAAATATACCTAAGATAAATATAACAAAAAGTGATATCTCTCTAGTTAGTGGAATAAAAAGTTTTCTGAGTAGTTTTTTTCTGTCATTTTTACAGTGTACATTTTCCCAGCATACAGGCACAATTTGTATTGCTGAAACAAAAGAATTTTTTTCCCCGCTGGTAGGAAAATACCTTTTCCTTCCTTCCTTCCTTCCTTCCTTCCTTCCTTCCTTCCTTCCTTCCTTCCTTCCTTCCTTCCTTCCTTCCTTCCTTCCTGTTTTGAACTTAGGGCTTTCTAAATAAGTGCTTTACTATTTTTCCTCAGCCATTTTGGCTTTAGTTATTTTTGAATACTCTCACATTTTTGTCTAGGCCAAACTAGATCATGATTCTTCTATTTAAACCTTACTTTGTAGTAGTCTGATAGCCACATACTTTCACTCTCAGCTTTTTTGTTGAGATGGAAGTCTCTCTACCATGTTTCATAGGCTAGCTTTGAACTGTTATCTTCCCAGTCTCTACCACCTAAGTAGCTATGATTACAGGTACGATCCAACACAGGGAACCTGAGAAAATCCTCCTTTAACATAAACATTTTTGTAAGCTATCAATAGAATAATTTAAAAGTATTGCCTGCATGGCAAAGTTTTCTTCATAGCACTAAACCACTGTACATGCAGGAGTTTTTGCCTTGCAAGGCTCCAGGAGGGTTTTTTCCATGCTTTCTATCTTAATCAGATGGAAGTCCTCTCAGGTTAGGAAATGCCTCAGATGCTAACTCTGACTCCTGTAATTGATCCTAGACTAACTCTCAGCTGAGGCTCACACAATATACTCTTCGATAATAGGCTTAAGTATGTCCTGCTTGTCTTTTCTCAGGTTTCCTTCTCTTTGGCTTGAGTTATGTCTATGTGAACCTTTGGAGTGTATGCTTTGGATACCTTTAGATGCAGTGGTTCAGACTGACTTTGGTTGCAACCGAGATCTTGAATTTCTGGTTCACTTTTACATTCCTACTTCTGTCAGTCCAGTACATTCAGGGAATGGTTTCATTAAGTCTTAGATGACCTGACTTTAAGAAGCAATGATAAAACCAAATTGAAAGTAAGATGGTTCCACATGTAGGTGGTTATCAATGAATTCTCACTTTTCTTTTGGGTTTTTGTTAGTCATGTGGCTTGAACTCAGGGCCCGGCACTGTCCCTGAGCTCCTTTGCTCAAGGGTAGCATTCTACCTCTTGAGCCACAGTGCCCATAAGAATTCTGAATTCTGTGCCTGATCCTAACTGCAGAGCCCTCCTCTTTGCCACTGTGATGTCTCATAGTACTGAGTTGATGCATGATTTACCAAATTTAATTAGACCTTTACTCTCATACCTTTGTATTCTGTGAAGTTTATTACTTCACTGGTTCTTAGGTTGCTGGGTTATAGTAACAGAATACCATATAAAAGCTTTCTTAAAAAATAGATATGTACTTTACACATTTATGGACTATGGGGAATCCATGGCCAAAACTTGGTGAAGCCTTTCTTATTTGTTTGTAAATAGCTGTCTTCTTACTTTGTTCTTCTATGAGTGGGAAATTGGAGGCAGAGAACAAGCTTTCTCTTGCCTCTCCTTAGGAGCCATTAATTCTTTCACCTCATCCAATCCCCTGCCACAGTTCCTACCCATGTGGTAGCATCACAATGAGAATTAGGCTTTCAATATTAATTTGGAGAGTAATAAACACATTCAGTTCATAGCGCTGACTGATTCATGACAAATCATTTCATACTTTGAGTTTAAAAGTAAATTTGTAAAAACTCTTTTTTTTGTTGTTTGTTTGGTTTTGGGTTCAGTCGTGGGACCTGCTTAGCTCTTCAGCTCAAGGCTAACGCTCTACCACTTGAGCCACAGCGCCACTTCCGGCTTTTTTCTTTTTTTCTTTGCTTATGTGGTGCTGAGGAATCGAACCCAGGACCTCAGGCATGCAAGGCAAACACTCTACCACTGAGCCAACTTCCTAGCCCCTGTAAAAGCTCTTATATACAATGTTTTCATGTTTTTAT